AAACAAAGCGGTTTTGAATCAATAGGATCTGTGCACCAAAATGACAATGTCCGATTCGTGAATGAATCGATCTTTTCAGTCGAATCTTTTCAATTAACTATTTAAACCAGTTTACAATGCAGGTACGCATGGTCTCTAGTACGATCTACAGGTGCATCTCAATAAATTAGAATGTCGTGGAAAAGTTAATTTATTTCAGTAATTCAACTCAAATTGTGAAACTCGTGTATTAAATAAATTCAGTGTACACAGACTGAAGTAGTTTAAGTCTTTGGATTATAAAGTTATATTTAAGATGACTTAATGTTTTATGAATCAGATCATGGCTGTAACAAATGGAACTGGAACCAATGAAATGATAAACATCTTTATAAATAACATGTAATAAAATTATACCTCTACATATGGCTTTATTGTAACATTTTAGAGAACAACGAGATGGCGTAATCGAGTCACTGAATCGGTTCGAATTGTTCGAAAGAAATTCTTATCGAGCTACCCATCACTGGACGCCTTCCAGTGAAAGGTTCAGTTTCTAACTGAGGTGAATTGAGAGTAAACAAGCTCCCAGTCCTGCTGTAAAGTGTGAATTATTCATATGGTCTTAGCAGACACTTCCTTGCCAACGCGGCTTAAACTTTAAGTGATGAATGACGATTATAACGTTTACACTCTTAAAAATAAAGGTTCCAAAAGAGGGGGTTTGCAGTAATGCCATAGAAGAACCATTTTTGGCTCCCCAAAAACCTTTCAGTAAAGAGTTCTTGAAAGAACCGTGTTACAGTGTGAAGGACATTTTAATAATCTAATGAACCTTTTTACACCATAAAGAACCTTTTGTGGACCATAGATGTTAAAAGTTCTTCATGGAACCATCAATGCATATAAAGAATCTTTATTTTTAAGAGTGTAGCTTCATCTGCTTGGACAGTTCAGACTAATCATGAATCTGTTAATTCATCATGTTTCTTCGAATACTTGAACAAAAGGCGTCTGCCTAATGATAAATACACGCTCCACATAGACACATAAGCACAATTAAACACAAACATTCATTTAAACAAAGTATTCATCCGTATTACAATGAATAAACATCGGCTACATGGCAACAAGCAGCAAAATATAGTCAGAAAACTCACCGCCTGCGACTGCAGAAAGCGCAGAACAGCAGCACGGAGATAAAGCCCAGAAAGACCGTCAATAAACACTCCAACATTATTAAAGAGCCTCTGAGTGAAAAAAAGAAAAAACCTAGAAGACTGGTCCGGGGAAAAAAGGCTTCACGATGCACTTCACGCGATAAGTCCAGGTTTTGAGAATGTTAGGCTACTTTAAAAGTGAAAGAGTGCTTGTCATCACCGCACTATATTAAACATCAGTGTCCAATGGGAGATAAGACAAGAAATGAGCAGATAATACACGAACAAATGCGAGTGTCCAAGATTTTCAGAAAGTCACGCCCAGTGGAGGTCGCTCAATGACAATTAAACATTGCTCAACAGCCTACTTGTATTACTAACTGGCCCATTCAAGCTTTTCTAACACACACACAGCAGAGGAGGAGACATACCCACAGCCACTACTGTTTATTGCCTGATATACATGCAGCAGCATGATGAAGACACACCTCTTCTTGACTCAGTCCTGTTAAAAAACAAACAGACAGACAAACAGTTAGAATGATATAGTGATTCAAATATTAAAATTTGCCTACCTATAAATGCAAATATAAATTTGTTTAAGAGGTTATTGTTTTATATATGTTTACAAATTATTATTTAAAAATACTTTTACATAATGAAATAATTGTAAGTCATCTTTTGGCCTCTATGGAAGTTTGCTGAGGCCCTTTAGTGGGCCTAAGCAAACTGCTGGTCAACTGCTTTCAACTAAATCATTGTCAATTAACCTCTTTAAGACCCGGCAAAACATTTTATGAAAAAAATTGTATTTGTTCATGTCATTACATTGTTTAGAGCATTAAAAAATGTAAAAAAAAAAAAAAAAAAAAAGTAAAAATTATATTTCATTCATAAGTTATGCTACGTCCTTGGTAGAGGACATCTGGACACAATTTCTTAAAAAAAAAAATAAAAAGACATGAATGAACACGCATAGGCAAAAACAAATGATTTTTTAAAATCACCAGTACATTTTTAGTTTTCAGGATTTTTTTTTTTTGTACCAAACTTTGTATAAAGATCATTCTCAACTATGTTATAACAGAATGATTTGCGTAATAAACATGCTTTTAGTCCCGGTGTCCTCATATGAGGACATGTATGAAATCAAAGTCATATTTGGATTTGGAACCCCATAACATTTTCCTGAGATGTTGATTTATGACACACAGTTTAAAAATTAGTCAGATTTAAATGATAATTTCAAAACTCCAGATTTAAAACTGTGGCATGTATAGTCTCAGAGAAATTCACTAAAATATAATGTCCTCATATGAGGATGCAGGGTCTCAGGAGGTTAAGGAAGAAATCCAAAATGTGCAGCATTAGAGGCCTCCACAAGAAGGGCTGAGAAACATTTTTACAGAACATTTATCACAGGGACAAACCTTTGAAACAACTTTGTTTCAACGTTGTGCATTGCTCATGTAAAAGTCACACCCTTGCAGTGTTTCAACCTGTTACCTATAACCACTTCAGCACTTTCCCCACAGAACGTGAGGGGTCACACAAAGGAAAGATTGTACTGTATTTGTCTGTATGTGTTTGGGGGTCGGTGCAGATTAACAAACCAGATGAAGTTCTGACAGTGCCTGATTGAAAACAGAAGGATTCTCTTTATACAAAATAACTCTTTCTTCTCTCAGTCTGTGACTCAGTGTGTATGTGAGTGTATGTATGCCAGCAGTGAGGCCTTCTGCTCCACACATAAAGGTCTCTCTGTTCGCCTGTTCTGTGGTTCTTTTTTCAGTGCTGCCAGTAAAGAAACACCAAAATAGCTTTCATAGTCTCCAACGCTGCTTAACTCAGAAGATTGTTGTTGCTAATCATTTAATGGGGAATACAAATTTAAAGACTGACTTGGACTAGTGGGAGTGTTAGGGAAATGAATGACAACGTCAAATGCTCAATTATCCACGGCATAAAGAATCGTACAAAGGATGCTCTCCACAGCTTTATACAAATGTTTGATTTGACATCTTAAAAAGCACACACTTTAAAAAAGATTTTTCCCAGTTGAAAATAAAATAAAGATGGCTGGAGTACATTTTACAGGAAAATACTATTTCAGTCTCTCTACGTCAACATTTCATGTTTAATTTAATGTGTTCAGTCACATTAAAAATGCTTAAATGCTTTTGGACAGAGAAAGAGCACATTCTGATAGTTGAATGGAGCACATATATGTATACAAAAAGGAATTAATGGTGATTAGCAGTCATCTGTGTTTTAAGTACAAAATACATTTGTTTCTTCTTAAAATGCATGTTCATGATTGCAAGAAATTAAGCCCTTATGTATTTTTGTCTATGTCATAAACAGGATATATTTACCAATATTTAACAAGCTAAATTAAAGAAATGAAGACATTAACATCAACAAATAATGTAAACATAACATGATCAGCCTTAATTATATGGGATTATTATTGTTAGAATCTTGATACCACCAACATTAAGGATCAAACAGTCTCACACCTATTCCTGGATCTATCCAGAACGCAGGATAGAGAGGCTGAGTGAATGTGGTGTGGACTCAGAGACGCTGTAGAAGGACAGAGTTCCTGCACTGTGATCCACATACACTCCTATTCTAGAGGAGCTGGAGACTACAGGGAGTGCAGTCATTACATTACTGTGCCAGAACTCACATTTGTCAATAAAGCACATCACAGACCAGCAATGATTATTAGCTCCAATTCTACTTGCAGCACAGTCTCCCTTCCTGCCAATACTCTTATATGACACTGATATACTCAACCATCTACATCCAGTCCATCCAACCTCCCAGTAACAGCGTCCACACACACTCTCTCTGCATAACACCTGAAGGTAAGCATCAAATCTTTCTGGATGATCAGGATATGGCTGGTTTATCTGAGTGTCAGTAAACACTCTGTTCCCTTCAGACAGATAAAGGCGTTTATGTGCTGTGTTTGGGTCCAGTGTAAATCGCTGGAAATCTGATGGGGAAAGAATATAAAATCAATAAACTGAATCATCTGAATTTTAATCAATAATACAGCATGCTAGCTGAAACTCATATTTCATGTTTTCTTAGTTGTAGGAATCAGACAGAGAAGACGTCTAGTTCAACTTTCAACAGTCAGTCACTATCAAAACATCTAGTTTTGGATACTTATTTGATTCATCAGTGTACACCTGTGTTCTTCACAGTGTTTAAATGTACAGTAGCTTGTTTCTGTGTGTGTGTGTGTGTGTGTGTGGGCTCATCTGGTCACTTACATTGTAGGAACTCCTTCCTGCTCTCATAGTCATGAGTGGGAATGATCTGTATGTATCTTACTAAGGAAACCAACAGACATCCTTGGTGAAAACAATTCCATGTTCATTTTAATGCACATTAAATTGATTGATATTTGACTTATTTCAGAAAGCATGCGTGTCCAGTATTTTACCTCTAGCAGATACCTTTTTTTTCTCCTCTCTGCAGAAATGCTCTAGTTTCTCTCTAAGATCAGACACAGATTTCCAACGATTTCAGAAAGCATGCGTGTCCAGTATTTTACCTCTAGCAGATACCTTTTTTTCTCTCCTCTCTGCAGAAATGCTCTAGTTTCTCTCTAAGATCAGACACAGATTTCCAACATCATCAAAAGAGAGACGAGAACTGACAGTGATGCTGGGCGAGTCTGTAGATCCAGGAGGAACAGAGAGAGACTGGAAACTCTACACAGACACAAAGACACAAGAGAAACACCAGCTAAAGACACAAAAACATTTGATAGAAACACAATCTCTGTAAAACATACTCGTCCCTTCCTGAAGATCACTCTCCTGTTTGTCAGATCTCTGTTACCTGAAGGAAACGTATGTGATTGTCTGTGTGTGAAATCTGCTCCAGCTCAGTGCCTCTCCTCTTCAGATCTTCAATCTCCTGCTCCATTCGCTTCAATCGTCCTTCAGTTTGACTCACTTCAGCCTTTTCCTGATCTCTGATCAACTGTGTCACCTCAGAGCGGCTTCTCTCAATGGAGCGGATCAGCTCAGTAAAGATCCTTTCACTGTCCTCCACTGCTGCCTGTGCAGAGTGCTGTTAGGACAGAGAGTAGCATTAGAATCAGTCCATTCACTCAGCTCTTACTGCTACCTCACACAACCTGTTCCCCACAGTGGGCTTCAGTGGGACTGAAAGAGCTCCAGCACTGGCTCCTCACTGACTGACTGGAGGAGAGTCCAAACTGAGTCTGAAACAGCTCTTCAGTAGCCAGCAGCTGTTCTTCTGCTCAAAACTCACCTTGTGAGACTCTACAGCCCCTCTCAGCTCCTCAAGCTCCTTCTGTCTCTCCTGGATTTTCTGCTGGAATTTTCTCTGGGTGTCATCCACGTGTTTCTGTTATATATTCTGATTCTGATGTTATATATTCTGAAATATAATGTTAAAAATCAGTCCTCTGTACAATTAGGCGGATCTTAGTCAGATTAAGTTGCCATTTACTCAGAAGTATGGCTACGCAAGACAGGAGAATTATTAACATGTTCTGATACTATTTCATCATAAACAAAAAAATATAGAGTATCTTCCGGAATAGAGGCACACTATAAAAGTTTATCATTAAATGAAGTTCCAAACGTAGGTTCGGGAGGAGCCTAATCATTCAGTCCTGTCAATCATCATTACGAGCCTATATAAGCAGCACTCATCGCGCAGTCCCAGCGACAATTCTTCAAGCATCCCTCCACCTATTTCTGATATTCTCCCTCTATGTAGTACTGCAATAGGGTGGTTGAACTCGGAGCTCAAACTGAGCCTCGGGTTCGAGCCTCCGTTGAGGACAGCAAGCCAAGTTTTTTTTAATTTTTTATTAGCCATCAGCACTGGATGGGCAGGCGAACTCGTGAAACAGAAGATGACAAATTTCACTCCTACTTTTCTCTGTCCTCTCAAAATGAGATGAATCGTACTTGTGACAACACCATGATAACATAAAGCCATCAATTCAACCAAATTATTTAAAACCTTAGGCTACTGCACAGGATAGCTTCTTATCATGTATAAGTTACTTTAATTTTGTCAATAGCGTAGGCTATAAAATATATGATAAAATGCATTTATTTCTGTATGATACAATTCATACCTGTTTCTCAGTCCTCTCTGCAGCAGCTGATACAGTGTTGTGGTTTTTGTGTTCATCTACCATACACATATAACATATACAGCACTGGTCAGTACGACAGAATATTTCCTTCAGTTTATCATGTTGAGGGCAGATCATCTCTTTTAATTCTCCAATGGCATCAGTCACTTTGTGTCGCTTTCCAGAGTGAAATTCTTCATGACGTTCAAAATGGGTCTGACAGTAAGATTCCAGACACACCAGACAGGATTTGACGGCTTTGTTTTTGTCCCCAGTACAGATGTCACACTCCACATTTCCAGATCCAATGAAACATTGAGAAGGACGAGCAGCTTGGAGTTTTGTCTTCTTGATTTTCTCCACCACTTCAGCCAGTATGGTGTTTTTACCTAAAACAGGTCTTGGAGTGAAGGTCTGTCTGCACTGAGGGCAGCTGTAGACTCTCTTCTGATCATCCTGATCCCAGCAGCCTGTAATACAGCTCATACAGTAACTGTGTCCACAGGGAATGGCCACTGGATCCTTCAGTAGATTTAGACAGATTGAACAGCTGAACTGATCCTGAGCCAAAGAAACACTGGATTCTGCCATTTTATAGGGTGTAGGTACAAATAAACACAGAGACATTGAACTGTTACACTCCCTGGTTTCCTGGTTTTGTGTTAAGAGAGACGTGTGCGTCTGTACGCGTGACACACCTGTAGTATCTGGAAACTGTTCACAATAAAAAGGTCCACAAGTTCAGCAACTGTGAAAAATATAAAGCAATACTGAACGTCTAGGTGGCGCTCTAACACTGTTTTTCATGTCAGTGTAGTCAAGTCAAGTCACCTTTATTTATATAGCGCTTTTAACAACACTGATTGTGCCAAAGCAACTGTACAGCATTAATTAGGAAAATATTGTGTCAATAATGCAAAATGATAATAGTGAACACTCAATTTGTGTAGTGTCTAGTGATTGGTAGGCTACCTAACGAAACCTATGGAGGACCAAACCTGCAGAAATAAAAAGAGCAAGATACATAGAAAAACTGAGCCGTATTGTCCGTACAGTATCTGTGCCTTTACAAACGACCCAATGGAATGGCCAGAGGTGTCATTTCTGGGCATTCGATATTCGCAAATCTAGGGACCGTCTCTAAAGTTACTTACGACATTGGTATACACTTTTCTAACTTCAATAGCATTTAAGGAAAATTACTTATTTTATTGAAATAAACTGACAAATCATATATAAATATGTTGTTTATTTCACTACTGAATGGGCTCAAACACAAAATATATATCATAATTTAAAGCTCAATAGCATTTGAGGAAAATGACTTACAGTAACACAACCAACTGTGAAGTGTT